CTGTATGTGGCCTTAGATAATACAAACCATTTATTGAAATACAGCATTTCTAACTGTGTCATACTGGAATTGCCTCTGCTGATCATGAAGAATTGAATAATACTCATTTGTCATGTAGAGTGTTGACTCAAACACAGCTGAGTTCAATTCAGATGACAGAGGTGGTTACAAAACCCGTCTGTTGACTGTGCTTCTCTTTCCACAAGTTGCTTTCTGCAGCAGGGATGGCTGACCCATGAAGCAATTCTTCAGCCACAGTTTGTAGTCTGGAAGCCCATGGTGGCTTTGAGTCACTCTAATGCGCTGGGTTGGCAACTCTCGCAGCTCAGGAGCTGCTTCCTGTGTAAATCATTGGTGCTAGTATAGTAGTGTCAGTCTTTGGAGGAGTGAATGCCTGGTAGGATGCTTAAGTTGCTCGCATTGGTGCGTAAATATCCTCTGCTTCTGATTCACAGCTAACTTGAGAAAGAATCTTTGCAATGGTCTGCGAGCAGTTGCAGGGTACTTTCAGAAACTGCTGGCAAGATACCTTTTCTGTGGGTTCACATGGCTCCAAACAATTAATCTCAAACAAAGGCAGTTTTCTCCAAGACCCTCTGCTCTTAATCGCATCTGGAGAAAAGACTACAAGAAACATTAATGCAGATTCTCTTCCTTGGGGTTCCCGTTTCACTGGGATTGGAAGAAGACTGCTGCTTAATTACATACTGTTTTTGAAAAAGGTACATAGTGAACACAGGAATAGGAGCCAAGATATTTATTGGCCAGGGCTGGTTCTGTGGAACAAATCACTCGTCTGTTAAATGGGGAGCTATTTCTAACTAGGCTACAAAGTAGGCCGCTTGCGAGGGAAGAAAGAAAATGGGCTTGGTTTTGGGTAGTGGCGTTGTTGGGAAGGCTGCCAATTTTCCTTGGTTTCCCTTCATTCCTTTTTAGGATAATACCTTGCTGAGCTCACAAGATAACCCTGTGGATTATAGACTTGGCTTAATTCTTGCTAGAGTCAGGAAAGCTAACACTGATAGCAGAAGGTGAAAGAGCTTCATTTTAGTAGGTTAGTGTCTAGAATAATCTCAAATTAGTGCTTTTTATTTATTTGTATTTAGGTAACCACTGTGTAAACTTTAGAGTTTTGTCTTTGAAACAGAACTGTTTTCCTGAGAAGTGGTACAAATAGCAGAACTTAGTTCTATTTTTGGTTTTGATCGTGCCTTTATAGCCTGCCTTTGCAGTTATAGGGAGCTAAAAATAGCATATGGATATCTTCTCTCTAATAAACTTGTGGACCAGATGCCTCTCTTGCCTCTTTTTTCTCCTGTTGCAGGAATGAATCCCTTATACTACAGCGACCATAAAGTCATTACACTGCATTTAAAACCAAATGCAGGAAGGGATGACTTTTTGTTAGGACTCTGTATTGTTTGTCTTGCTAAGCCTTTTCACCATCTTTCAGCAGAAGCCAGTTTAATCCTTAAACATTTGTACACAGAGTACAGAATTGTCTGTTGTTTGCTATCTGTGTTCTCATTGATCATGATGCTGTGCCTCTCCACAATGCCTGCTATTTGCCCTTTGGATCTTCGTTTTACAGGGTGGCTGTTATATTCCTTGCTGATAGCATATCACCAATGGTACCAGTTAAGAGCTGAAAACACTTCCAGCATTATGGCAAGTTCCACTTTCGCCAGGATGACTCACTAATTAATTGACCCCTGGGATACTCTGCCTGTGCTGGAGAGGCTTCCTGTGCCAACTTGAGAAAATGTTGTGGAAAGATAGTATTATATAGCAAAAGAGAAATTATTCGGAAGAATTTTATCAGCCTTGTCAGAATTATGTTTTCTAGCACTATCAAACTGCCTGAAACAAGCTTGGAAACTAACTGAGGCATAGATACTTTGGAAAGGATTGCTTCTCTGACTTAACATCTTCCTTTGCTATAGGAACTAAAAAACAACTTCTATTAACACCATGAGAAGAATGGACTTGTAATGGGAGTGGGCGGAGGCAAGCAGTACAGGAGGCAGTAAATACCTTTTCCTCCCAGCAGGCCACAAGGTTTTGGCTTTAAATAGGTCACTGTTCAATTGTGGTTACCAAGTGGCCACTTGGGAGGGAAGAAAGAAAATGGGCTTGGGTTTGGGTGTTGGTAGGGGTTGGGAGGGCTATTTGGAACGTGAAGTGGCATGGGCAGACTGCCCTGCAGAATGCTCTTCGTGTGCTTGTCAGTGAGAGTGGGTGCCTGGAGCATGGTTTCACTGTCCTGGTGCGGATGGAGTGTCCGTAACTTGTGACTTCAGCAGATTTGTCCTGTGGCCTTCAAGAAACCTTGTGATGCCTTCATAGTACTGGGGCTGTGTTTTACCTTTTGTCAAGGAGTCTTTGCCACATCTGTAATATTAAACTTGGTGTTTGTAGCAGACTTGAACCAAGCAGAGTAGTTCTATACATGAAGATAGATGTGATGGGTGCAAATCTCTCCAGTGAGGAGCTGTATCCCAGCCTGGGACCTAGAGGGAAGTGCCAGAATACGTGATTTAACTCCCAGTAGTTTCGGGTAGAGAGAAAGAGCTTTTGCTGCAGAAATCCTTCTCCCTTTAGGACCCTGAAGCAGTAAAGGATTTGGGGAGATGCTTCATTTCGGCTAGAAGTGTTGTTTGGACTTGTGGCTGGTGGTCTGTTAACATTTGGGCATTTCAGACTTGACAACTGTTTACTGAAATACCAAAACGCAGACAGATATTTTTCATCTCCAGTGGTGCTGCTTCACTGATTTCCCCTCAGATGTATACGTGCAGGGGTGACTTCTGCATTTGACTCCAGTGAGTGGCTCTTCATGTAAAGTACAATAAGTTAGACAGGCTTGTTGCCTGATTCTCTCTGTTTGGCTGTTAGCTCAGCCGGCCAGCTGTCTGGGAGAAGCGAGGGGTGCTGAGCTGTGACAGACTTCCTAACCACCCACAGTAAGCTGGGGCCATGGTGCGGAAAGGACTATTACTTTGTGTCACAGGTGATCTTAGAGAACAAGGCTGTGATTGTATCAGTGTTTCTTGTCAGGGGAGAAGTGCCGCTAAAAGTGACATTAAGTAAAAAATTGTATCCTAAAAGTTCATGTTTGTGGGTGGGAGGCAGGATGACACTGCCCAGTAGTGCTTCTCTTTATTCCAGCTCATCATGTGTTAACCTTGACTGACTACAGTGTATGTTTATCCGTTGATGTGTGAACTCTTCTCATTTGCCATAACCTTTTGTTGGGCTAAATTTATTTTTAATTTTCTACTCTTTTTTTCCCCCCCACTTCTTCTTAGAGGAGCTAGAAAAGCACAGTAGCATAGGAAGAATGCAGGCGACTCTGTATTAGAGACTGCAAGCAAAAAGAGAGGGATAGGACAGACTAATTTTGTTATGAAAATGAGCATGCTAAGTAAAATCCACTACATGTTTGCTTGGGAAGGTTTGTGGTCTAAATTTGACATAGACTGTAGCAAGCAACTGCCATATGGAGGAACAGCAACTTTGCATTAATAAGATCATACAGTTAACAGCCTAGTTTATAAATTTCTACTCAGCAGTGTCTACGGCTCAGCAGCAGAAAGTGTGCTTCATTTGGAGGCTTGAGTGAGAAAAGGATGGTGAGACGTTTTTGAGTAGATATTGCATGCACAATAGGTACAGGTTGGGAAAAGCTGCCTGTAGTGGGGAGGGAGATGTAAATCCAGGTGTAAACAAAACTCTTTGGTTTTATTACTCAGAGGTGAAGTGACTGGTGGAACTGACTAAATCAAATACTTTCAACATCTCACAAAACAAATGACCAGTCTAAGGAAGGTTAAAGCATCACTGACCTTTTGTTGTTTTGGTTTTTTGCTTTTGTTGTTGTGGGTTTTTTTTTTGTTTGTTTGTTTTAAGAGATGGATATAATTGTCATCTGCAGTTCTTTCCACGGTGTAGAGTAGGTATCAGCAGTGCTCTAGCATGTTGTGCTACACTCTGTTTTTCTGTCCCAGATTAAAGTTTGTGTGAAAACAGAAATCATGCAGAATCCAAGCTCTGTTGTTTCTCAAAGATGCAAGATGCTATCACAATATCTGTGGTGTGGTGCCTCTACATTAGTAGTTAGAAGTGTCTCCTGCAGACTAAAGAGCTCCCTGGCAACCCCTGGCAGGGTGCTGCCCCTTTTCAGGAGATTAGTTGCCAAATCTCAGCCCTGTTACGCACTATTCAAAATGAGTCCACTTACCGTGTTTGCCCTACAGCTGTTAAGTGGCTGACACCCATACGAGGGTGACCTGGAAAGCTTTATGGGAACAATTTAGCTATCCATACAGGAGAAGCTAATAAAAAGTACATTCAGCTTCCAAATCTGTATGAGGATCCTTTGTGAATTGAGTGCTGGTTTTTTTTGACATCTGCTCTGTGATAAGCAGAGAATTGGCTCTGGTAATGGCAGAAGATAGCAGGCATTAAACAGGGAAATCTGAAGAGGTGAAAGTAGCAATTACAAAGTTATTGGAGACTCTATGCCCAAAATAAAGAAGGGCCGGTTGCTTTGGGCTTATATAAAATAAGCCTCCCCCAGCCAATGCAATAAAGCACAAGATGAACAAGGAGGAGGCTATACTATGGAAGGGAAAGAAAAAATAATCAAGTGTACAGAAAGTAACAAGTTAGTATCCTACAATCCTGCTTCATTAAAGAAGAGTTGTATTTGCATCTCTGTTTATCCCTGAAATTATATTTCCTTTGAAAGAGCTGGGCAAAATGTTGTTGCTGTCAGGTCTCAGTACTTCAATTGTCAGTATTGATATTTTGAATATTTCAGGTGGTGACACAAAATTAACATTGTATTAGATAAGTTCTTGTGTCTCTTCATCAGCTCTGCTCTTTCTGTTATGGTGTTGTTACCACGAGCTATTTTTTCATTCAGTTGGAACATAAGTGAACAGCACTTCACCTGTGCAGAAAATAATTGTGAGTTCTTCTGTGTTCACAGGATTTGAATGCAGTCTGAATCCAAAAAGTATGAAGAAGAGACACCGTCTCTGCACTGGGGGATGGATCCTGTGTTTTCTGCATTCGCAAGACTCTATATTAAAGATATAAAAGAAATGAGAGAATCTAAACAAGTGCCAGGTATGTACTTACGTGTGCTGATGCACGCAGAATTGTAGTTGATTGATGTTGTGCTCTTTATCCAGGGATTGCAGAATGCTTCACGAACACTGGTAATTTTCTGTGCCCCTAAGCTAAGTGACATTAGTATCTTTACCAGTTCTAAGAACAACAGGTTGCATGTGAAATATATGTGAAAAATAAAATGTGTTTATTTTCTAATGGCTTTTCTTCCTGTTATCTATCTATATATATATAGATAAAGAACTTCTTTTATGCTAAGGTAATGTTATGTTTCCTCTGTGTGGTATTGCTTGTTATTTTTCTGATAAATTTAATTCTAAAAATGCTGGTCCTTTCTGGCCATATGTGTTCTATCTTTCCACTCCCTACAACATTTGAGAAGGATTTTATGCCTCTTTGTTGCAAAATTTTGACAGTTAATGACATTGCTGGGTGTATGTGTCCTGCTTTTTCCTCTGGATATTAGTATGTTATAAAACAGATGCAGGGGTTAAGGTTTTGCCTGTTTAATTTCAAGATATGATAGGTGTATGACATTCTTCATACATTTGAACAACCTTATTGTAAATTCTGGCACCTGTGCTGAATCTGGTACGGCACCTTTTATTTCCTAACCATTGCTGGAAATTGTATGCTTTGCAGTCTGTTTCCTGCTGGTCTTCAGCCAATATCACCCACATGTGTACGTTGTCTAAAGCAACGGGGGTCTGACCTTGAAGTTCTGTTTTCACTACGAAGATGTTAAATGGACTGCAGTGTGTTTTCTGCTGGAGAGGGGTTCATTACTCCAGGCTGAAGCTTGACAAGGTGCAATGTTATCAGGCAAGAACCCAAGGAACTTAGAATTAATGAGGAAAAGCAGTAAACCCTAAGCAAATTGTGTGGGCTTTTGCTTGGTTTTGGCATTTTGTTTGGGTTTTTTCTTTTTTTTTCTTCCACAGAGACAAGGTACATCTGTTTGGCCCTTAAATATATTCTGTCTTGTAGGTTTTGTTATTCATGTTTATTTTTCTTTAACAGCAAGGGTAACAGCAGTGCTGTTCTTGCAGTAATGAAAGACTGGTGGTTTTGTTATGCTTTTCTTGCAACCATTTTTATGTACGTAGGAACCTCGCAAACTGCAAAGCCCAGTATTTATACCTCGTTGTTATTTAACGTGATGGGAGAGCTTTTTGTCTTAAATGATTGCATGAATTAGGGCACAGTTTGTTGTTGATGTTTGTACCAGAGGGAGTAGTATTTGGAGACAGTTTTAAGGTGTGCAGTCTTACACTAGTACTGGTGTAGCAAACACATCAGGTGAACCAAGTACAAACCGATTCAATGTCAGCAGAATGGGATAGTAGCTTGGACTTGGACACTAGTACACAGACTGCAAAAATATATTCAGAAGATTAAATTTACAAACATCAACAAACATTTCCTGAGCATGGGAACAGTCATAGAAAGAACAATCCTGCTGTCTTTTTTTCCACTTCTAAATTACCTGAATTTCCTTTCTCCCTTCCCTTCCTATTCTTTTGCTTAAGTGAGTTGTCTTCTGCTTCTGGAACTTTTTCAGTTTTGTTACTTTTTCTTTTTTCTAAGATGATCTTAAGGAAGTGGTATCTGTCAGTCAAGATATCAGCCTTTAAAATTGGTGCATGCGAGCTTTCTCCACTTCCTGTGCATCTGGGGTGTTTTGCACAATTAAGCTTGCTTGCAATCCTGTATCTCTTTCTAAAGCAAACTTTAAAAAATAAAATGAAATTTCCTGGAACAAACATTTGGATTTTGTGCATCTCCTGGTGCTGTGTGTACACCAAACCAGACATCTTTCAGTGCATCTTGTTTATTGGCAACAAATGATAGCACAACAGAAAGACACAGAAGAAAATGTTTGCTGTCAGTTTCCTGCCTCTAATGGGTTTGTTAAAGACCAGCTGAAGCTAAATATATGATTGGCTATAAATCAGTCATTGAATAATGCTAATTAAGAGTGAATGAGTGCAAAACAAAGCATTGTAACTACAGGGAATGGAAAGAAACACAGATGGAATGGAATGTCAGGAAAAACATCCTTAGAATGACATCTGCTAAACTGTGGAGCAGCATTCTCAGGGAAAAAGGTGGGATGCCCTTCACCGGGATTGTTTATATCCTGACTGTACAGATTGCCAGGAATTTTACTGTACAGAGTGGTCTTTTATTGGCCCTGAGGAAATGGACTGAATGACCTAATTAGTTTTTTCTTTCCATTTTTAAGCATTAGGATTTGATGCCACAATGACTAATCCCTTAAAACAGCACAGAGGAAAGCAGTAAACCTGGCCAATTACTCTCCTCCTATAAATGGTGACAAGAAGGATGGAAACCTCCTAGATAAAAACAGCAATTGTGTTGTCTTAGAGGCCTTGAAATTAGAGTGGGTGCCAAACTCGTCTGTAACACATAATCACATCATAGAAATGAGCTTTTCTCAGATTTATCATGCACCACTGCATTGTGACAGCTTATCAACAAGTGAGGAAAGCTACAAATGGCATAAAAAGAGGTAATAGTAATGAAAGCAATTGCAAACAGCTCAGTGTTCAGCACTGCTGGTAAAAACATGACCAGAACTTGCCCTAGGGAGCTCGGTATCTATAGCCCCCTATACCGCCTGCTGTGGCTTCCTGTTGTGGTAACAGCATATTAATGTATGTGTTACCTACTGGGTTACGAGGAGCTTGGCTGAGTGTGCCTGTACATAGCTTCAAATGTTTAATATATTTTTACTGCTACCAATATGAACATGATTTGAACAAATAAGCTGGCAGAAGAAACAAACTACACCTTGAGGTGGTCAAGTTCAACAACTTCCAATAGTGTAAATACAATTATATCTTTCAAATGAACTCAGGTAGTTTCTCGGAGAGTTAAGGGTTGAATTCTATGTGAGTTTACGGGGATGGAGAGAATCGGTTTTATCTGGTCTCTGCTTACTAACCCGGAAATGAACGTAATAACATCTTGCTTGTTTGTACAGTCAAGAGCTTGGTGTCTTGCCCTGCAACTGATCCCAGACCACCTTTTATAGAGATTTTATCAGGTTTAGTGAGGAAACGTGTACAGCGGGAGCATCTCCATTGAGGGTGCCTATAGCAGCATTCGGTGTCCTGGTAAATGTATGAGAGCAACGTGGACAGATTCTGTATGCCAGACCTGACCAGCGACTGCAGGATTAGTATAGCCACCTCTGACTATGAAACAGCGATACGTGCATCCTCAGCGTTGCAGTGGAATTCTGTCAGAACAACTTCTGGTTTTGAAGCTGCTTGGCTGATCACCTGTGATTCCTTCCGAAACTTTGGGTTTTTTTGTCTGTCTTGGGTGAAGAAAGCTAATTCTGGGCTCACTTAAGGCTGCTAGCTATGTAGGACAAGTTATTTCTGGATTTTGGTTTTGATTTTCTATTTTTTTTCAATACAGAACCTTTTTCTGACTCCGTTGTTGCAGTGTTTCT